AAAGAAAAGAAAAGAAAAGAAAAGAAAAGAAAAGAAAAGAAAAGAAAAGAAAAGACTGTGACAGCAATTCTGCTGGCTAGAGAGCCTGAGCTGACTCGCAGGGGTGTGGCTAAGGACTGCAGAGAAGAGGTGGCCAGACAAAGGCTTGAACTTTGTGCCAAAGGAAAAGTCCAGGGTCTCTTAGAATTTGGAAACTAAACAATCCACTCTCTGGCCAAAGCTGAGCGTATGTGAGGTGGTACTTTGGCCAGAGCATCTTCGTAGAGCAGGAGAGATTTTGACTCAGTGGAACCTTTGTTTAAAAGGGAGTGTTGGCAGATGGAGTCTTTTTTCCTAAACATAAAGCATGCCAAAAGGGGCATCCTTCAACCCAGTGGGGAGCAGAGATGTGCAGGGGCCTGCCCGTAGGTGGAGTTTTAGGGGAAGAGCTTCCAGAGGGAGGGGCAAACAATCTGAAAACTAATCCAGTGTGGGATCAGTCAGCCACTAATGTGATTAAAACAATGGAGATGGTCAGTTCTGCTAGAGTCAGTCAAGCAGTAGTGCAGGAACTGGGGAGGAAGCCAGATCGAGAGAACAGAGGGGAACTCCTTTGGAGAGCCCACATCTGGACTCCCGTAAGATCAGCAAGAAGCAAAGGAAGGATTGAGAACTCAACAGCACAAGCTTTTATTCAGGAGAAAAACTCTGGTTCTCTGTGTAAGATAAGACACAGCTTTCAATCTGCTTACAGGCTGGGGCCATTATTGGGCTGGGTGGGAATCTGAATGAGAGTGGTCCCCCTGCATTCATATATTTGAATGCTTGGTCCCCAGTTGGTAGCACTGTTCAGAATGGATTGAGACTCCTTACTGGGGAGGTCTGTCACTACAGGTGCACTCTGAGGTTTCCCCATTCAGCTTGGTCTCTCTCTCTCTCTCATCTGTCTGTCTCTGCCTTGTACTTGTTCTCTCAACCTGTAAGCTCTCAGCTACTGCTCCAGTCCCACGCCTACCTGTTGCCATGTCCTCCTTCATGATGGTCACGAACTAACCCTCTGAAACTGTAAGAAAACCCAATAACCTATTCTTTCCATGAAGGAACTAGGTCCTGGTGTCTTCACAGAAGTAGGAAAGTAACTAAGACAGAAGTTGCTGTGGCAGGTCTGACCTTGATGGGTTTTGAAGGAATGTGGAAGATTTTGCACCTTTGGTCTAGAAAAGCAGCTGAGCGCTGTAGAGGGGCTTTAACGGCACACCCTAAGGAGTTTGAAAGACAGCGATACTGAAAACAATGTGTACTCAGTGCATCAGCCATGTGGTTCTGGCTTTAGAGTCATGAAGGATACGGGAGGAATGGGGTTGTAGACTCTTCCTCAGAGGTTAAGGAAAGCTGCTGAGATCAGCCATAAGCAGAGGTGTCCCTACATGGAGGCCCTGAGGGCCACTGAGGGAAGTTATGCTCAAAGAAACCACCTCTGCCATTCAACCACCGGTCTCCTGGCCCTCCCTGAGCCCAGGCTCAGTCTGCTGTGTGACTGGGTGCCTGGTCACGCCCAAACCAACCAACTCCACTTGGGAGGGTGGGAGGCCTGCAGTGACACTGCTCTTAGCTCCCAGATGACTCCAGTAAGTCCTCACAGGCCCTCACCACTCAGCACACACCCAGGACAGGAGAATCGCAGGGCTCCAGGCCTCTCCCCAGATTTCCTGAATCCATATTTTTAAACAAGACTCAAGACTTAGGGAGTGTGAGAAGCTTCGATTACCAACCTGAACAAATCTTTTAACCTTTGAAGCATTGGTTACTGTTTTCATGGAACAGGAAGAACAATGGCTTCTGCATGGGACATCTGTGAAGGCCACATGAACGGAGCACAGCCAGCAAGTGGGGCGGAGCTGGCACACCAGGGCTAAGTAGATGTACTGGGGCTCTTGGCACCCTCTCTCCACGCTTCCAGCTCTTATTTGCCTGTACTTTGTTTACAAAGCCTGCAGCTACTCCCAAGTGTGATATGATTCTGCACGCTCTACAATATGGTTAAACATGCAAATAAAGCCCACAAGGTCTACCTTCTCCCTCCAACTGGTTTGCTTTCTAGAGGCCCCGGTTTCTGGTGTCGCTAGAAGATCAGTGCCTGCTGCTTCCCACTCCTCTGTGTCCCAGGCATTTCCGGAGGAGACCCACACAGCTGCAGGTGGACTCGGGCTCCTTTCCCACATGCTCTGCTCTCTCCAAGTCCTCTTTCAACCCCACAGTCACTTTGCACTGAATTTCCTTTCTTCCTTTCTGGGTACAATGTGTCCTGCTGCAAGTCCTAGCTTAGGCACTCCCAGCAACCATGAAATACAAGAACCTCTCCTTCTCAGGCCAAGCGAGTAGTGAGCACTGGGCCACTTTATTTGAGGGCTATGCCTCTGTTTAATTGTTTTTACAGTGATTTAATGTGTGCCAGTACACATGTGTAGATGTCTGAGGGCAACCTGAGGGAGTCAGTTCTCTCATTCCCCTTGAGGGTCCTACTGTCAAGCAGACTGAGCCATCTCCCCAGCCTGCTATGCGCATTTGGTAAGTTTACATTTGTCTCCTGGTAAAAACTTAACATTAAAAATACTTCCTTTCTTTCCTATTTAATGCCTTTACACTCTCCCCTTCTTTGTCACTTTACCAACAGCTTGTCCTGGCACTGTAGCAGGCAAGCCTTCTTCACATTTCTATTTGTGTCATGGCTTCAATAGCCTTCTGCATTAGCACTAATGCTGTAATAGTTCACTTCCAGCTAAGGAGCCTGGGATTTGTGCCCAGTAACTTAGGAGACCCAAGCTGGCACTGCAGCTCTGAGGTTTCAGAGTCCTCTCCCTGTGCAAATGGAATCGAACTACTGCCCAGTAACAGCCTTGTACCTTGTCTTATCTTGCTGGCCAGAGATCTTTGTGCTCTCCTCAAATGGAGCCTCTCTGTTATTTTGCCCTGGGGATGAAAAGTAGTTAAGAGTTGAACCAAAAACTTCAAAGGAAAACCTGGATGCAGGCACCATTCTTTTTCCATGCAAATCACACTCAGGTCTTCCAAATTCTTACCCAGTTTCCAACAGCCTTCCCATCCTACATCACTTTTTAGCCGAGGGGAAAATGCTGAAAGAATGATGTTAATGAATCTATATCTAAAGTGACCCTGAATAAGTTGCTGAGCAATATGAGCGTTAGGGATGTAGACACAAGAGCAGTGATCATGAGGAACTAGCAGACACTCACTAAGACTCTCCATCTGTATCTACACAATGGAATGTTACTCAGCAATAAAAAACAAGGAAATCATGAAATTTGCAGGTAAATGGTGGGATCTGGAAAAGATCATCCTGAGTGAGCTATCCCGGAAGCAGAGAGATGCGCACAGTATATACTCACTCATATAGACATATAATATAGGATAAACCTACTAAAATCTGTACACCTAAAGAAACTAATTAAGAGGGAGGACTCTTGCTAAAATGCTCAATTCCTATCCAGAAAGGCAAAGAGGATGGACATCAGAAGAAGAAGAAAAGAGGGAACAAATTAGGAGCCTGACACAGAGAACCTCTGAAAGGCTCTGCCCTGCAGACTATCAATGCAGATGCTGAGACTTATGGGCAACCTTTGGGCAGAGTGCAGGGAATCTTAGGAAAGAAGTAGGAAACAGTAAGATCTGGAGAGGACAGGAATTCCACAAAGAGAGCAACAGAACCAAAAAATCTGAGCACAGGGGTCTTTCCTGAGACTGATACTCCAACCAAGGACTATGCATGGAGATAACCTAAGACCCCTGCACAGATGTAGCCCATGGCAGTTCAGTATCCAAATGGGTTCCATTGTACTAGGAACAGGGACTGTCTCTGACATGAACTGATTGGCCTGCTCTTTAATTACCTCCCCCTGAGGGGGAAGCAGCATTACCAGGCCACAGAAGAGGACAAGGCAGCCACTCCTGATGAGACATAATTGACTAGGATCAGAAGGAAGGAAAAGAAGTCCTCCCCTATCAGTGGACTTGGGGAGGGGCATGCATGCAGAGGGTGGAAGAAGGGAGGGATTGGGACAGGAGGAGGGAGGGAACCACAGGGGGGATACAAAGTGAATAAAGTGTAATTAATAAAGAATAAAAAAAAAGACTCTCCATCCGACTAGCTCACCCTATGTTTTGCAGGGTTCCTTCACACAAAGTCCAAAGAAACACGAGCGAAGCCGAAAATTACATTCTATGATGAGAGCTAGGTGCTTACAGGTCCTTATGAACAAAATGGAAATTTGCACATCCAAGGAAAGCAGCCAGGTAGCTCAGAAAGTGGCTAATCCATCATAGCTAGGCTTCCTGCCTGTACAAAAGGGTTTTGTGTGTGTGTTGGGGGTGGGGGCAAGACAGGGTTTTTCTATGTAGCCCTGCCTATCCTGGAACTTGGAACTCATTCTGGAGTCCAGGCTGGCCTCGAACTCACAGTGATCCTCCTGCCACACCACCTGGCAAAATTTTTAAAAATTTTTATGTACATTGGTGGTTTGCCTACATCTATGTCTCTGTGGGACTCCTAGAGGAAGAGTTACAGACAATTTTGAGCTGCCATGTAGGTGCTGGGAATTGAACCCAGGTCCTCTGGAAAAGCAGCCAGGGCTCTTAATTGCTGAGCCATCTTTACATCCCCTGTGCACAAGTTTTAATTACTCAATCTATTTTGAAAAGTAATTATATGCACGTATGTATCTATGTGCACATGAGTGCAGGTACCTGAACATGCCAAAGGCATTGGATTCCCTGGAGCTGGAGTTACAGGTGGTCATGAGCCACCTGATGTGGCCGCTGGGAACCAAACACTGGTCCAACATGAGAACAGTATGTGTTCTCAGCAGGCCATCTCTTTAGACCCTAACTGCTTAGGATTTAATAAGGAACCTGAAATATTCATTGACCTTAAGAAGAGAAAGAGCACATTCAGCACCACTCCCTGAGACTGTTACACATTTTCAATAGGCAGTAGGTTTAAATACCGTCATTCCACTGCTCCGTCTCAGTTCTGCCCCTGAGGTCCCCGCGGTCCGCTGCAGCACCACAGTCCGGTGTGTTCAGGGAGACGAGGGGCCTTCATCCCAGCCTGATGGAAATGGAGACCCGCTGCCTCCGCATGCAGGGTGGAAGACGAATGGGCTTCTAAAGGAAAAAGTTGGCAAGTGTTAAGGTCTATTAGCCAAGAGGTTTCTTGTAGTTAAAGCAACCCTGAAGATAGTACTTTCTTCTCGACTTGGGGGCTGAGTTCTGCAGGGTCTTTGGACTGAGAAGCAAACAGAACCAAAAGCAGCAGGAACCGAAATTCAGGTGTCATTTTCAGTTTGCTTCTGCCTATCTCCATTCTGTCCACTCTCAACAGACAGACCTAAACCTGAAGCTTTTCAACTCCAAATGCTGTGCCCATTTTCCCAAAGCAGAGCACTTGCTTGGGAGTCAGACCTCACACGCAGGTCCAGTGGAGCCAGGGAGAAGACACCGCTACATTCCACGTGGACAGGCTGAATACAGAATGTGGCAGAACAGCCAGAGGGGACAGAAGCAGCGTGTCAGGGCAGAGAGACTAAAGAGGGAGCAAAGAGCTTGCACCTGAAAGCCTCTAAAGCCTCACCCACCGAAGGGGGCAGGAGAGCAGCTCTAGCTAACTGTCCATCTTTGCTGCCCACTTCCTTGGGACTGGCCCAGATCTCTGTCATGCATCTCCTCCATCAGGCTAAGTCACTAATGGTCTGTCCCTTAGTTACCTGTGAATCTTTCACTCACTGATCCATTCACACACCTCATACGCTAACTTCTGTTACACTAAGACAGCAAGGGCGGGAGGCAAGCTCACCCCTCACACTGCTGCCACTTGACAAAGTATGAGGTGGAAGATTCATGACTCCGGGCTCAACCCGAACCTCAGGACTAAAACCCTTTCCAGAGAACTAGGAAGGTTCCCACTTCAAATGCCCCCAAATTATCAATCAGCATGCAAGGGTAGAGGACTACCTTTGTACTCTCAAACTGTGCTTCATTCAGAAAGGCAGACTGGATGGACATCAGAAGAGGGAGAAACAGGGAACAGGACAGGAGCTTACCACAGAGGGCCTCTGGAAGGTTCTACCCTGAGAGTATCCCAGCAGAGGCTGAGACTCATAGCCAAACTTTGGGGAGAGTGCAGGGAATCTTATGAAAGAAGGGGGAAATAGAAAGACCTGGAGAGGACAGGAGCTCCACAAGGAGAGCAACAGAACCAAAAAATCTGAGCACAGGGGTCTTTTCTGAGACTGATACTACAACCAAGGACTGTGCATGGAGATAACCTAGAACTTCCGCATAGATGTAGCCCATGGTAGCTCAGTCTCCAAGTGGGTGCCCTAGTAATGGGAAACAGGGACTGTCTCTGACATGAACTGATTGGCCTGCTCTTTGATCACCTCCCCATGTGGGGAGTGCAGCCTTACCAGGCCATGGAAGAAGCCAATGCAGCCACTCCTGATGAGACCTGATAGACTAGGATCAGATCAGTGGACTGAGGGAGGGGCATGGATGGAGAAAAGGGAGGGAGGATGGGATGGGGAGGGGATGAGGAAGAGGGCTATAGCTGAAATACAAAATGAACAAACTGTAATTAATTTAAAAATAATAATTAATAAATAAATAGGAAAAAAACTGTGCCGATACCTAATAAAGGTGCAAATTACACAGCTTACACTAAGATAAAGAAATATTTAATTAATACTATTTTAATACTATGATAATTTTTTCCTCCGGGATGGGGGATAGGGATAGTGGCTGGGAAGATGGCTCAGTTGCTAAAGTGTTTGCTATGCAAGCATGAAGACCTGGGTTTTGGTCCCATGCAAAAATCTGGGTCCAGCAGCACCTGTAATCCCATCAGTAGGGAGACAGGGACAAGAGGAACTCTGGGGCTTGCTGGCCAATCGATTCAGTCCAGACCCTGTCTCCAATAAAGAAGGTGAGTTCTGGTGGGACAGACCATTGGGTAAAGGTGCTTGCCACCAAACCAGATATAAGAGCCTAATTTAAATCTGGTACATGGAGAGGACTGACTCCTGCAAGTTGTCTGCTAACTTTTTTTTTTAATTAAAATTAAAAAACATAAGGTGATGAGCAAACAAAAAAGATATCTGTCTCCACACGCACACGCGCACATACACACACATAATAATAATAATAGTAAAGAAACTGATTAACTGCATTTCAAAACCAGAATCTGTAACTAAACCAGTAGCCAAATACAACACCTGAAGCTCTGCTGTTACAGAGACACGCTGCAGACTGATGAAATGCTTTAAAGGCAATGGCATCTCTTTATTCTAACTTATAAGAGCGTTCTCAACAAGCCAGGCATGGTGGATCAACAAGTGGAACACGCCTTTAATCCCAGCACTGGAGAGGCAGAGGAAGGTGGATCTTTTTTAGTTTGGGGCCAGTCTGGTCTACATACTGAGTTCCCAGACAGCCAAGACTACATAGAAAGAACCTGTCTCAAAAAAGAAAAAAAAAATGTGTATACAGGTTGGGGATTTTTCAGAATCCTATGTGCTGTCCAAAGGGTAGGCAAAAATTTTATATTCCACACAAGACAAGATGGTGAATATTTTCTTTGCAGCCTATATGCATCTATCTATCTTGGCTACTTGATTCATCTTTTGGGTTAAACAATGGACCCACAGGCAACTATAAGCAAACAGGTATATCTAGGTTCCCCACAGAAAACAAAACTCAAGGATGCTTCGGTTTTATATGTCTACGTATAATTATATTAAATGCAATATTTTATATGAAATAGCTTTAGAAGGGTAGATGGAGCTGGAAACAGTTACCTAAGCTGTGTGTACAACAAGAGGGCAAAAGGACTGAATTCCTAGTTAATTATATGAAGGGTCAAAGGCACATGAGTGACAGAAGACAGTCATAATCTGGTTTTGCTTTCTGGTCTCTACTCCTTACTATCACAGGGCTTCAAGGAGCATAAATCTTCTATAGCTCTGAGGCCTAGCCCTAGTTCACATTTTATCTCCCCTTTCCTCTAATTCAGAATAAGACAGGAATCTTGCCCATAAAAGCAAATCAACGCTTATGCAACTTTCATTAAAATAAAAGCACTTCTCACAGTCCCTAAGGAGATGTCTGCCATCAGCCTGCTGCGCTGCAACTCTGGGTAGGCTCACTTAAGAGTACCTTGCTTGACCTCCAGTTGACCTTACCCATGAGGTGGTACCATGAGCCTCTTTAACATACAGTAGGTCCTATCACGTGACAAGCTGCATCTGCCAAGCGTGCTTTCCCTGGATACATAGGTGTAAATAGGATAAAGATGTTTCCTGAAATGGCATTCCACCTTCACCAGGACAGAGAAGGGCTGCAGGCTGGGAAGGAAAAGCAAGGCACCTAGTGAAGCATTTTATTAGGGATAAAAAATGTACTCTAAATTCACGATTGAATATGATCTGCCAAGTTTTCTTGAAGCACCACAGTTCTTAATAAAAAAATCAACTTTGGGGGAAAATATATTATTATCCAAAATGACTTAGTAAAAGCTTAAGTCTTGCACCTTTTCAAACCTGCTGGGGAAAGAAACACACCAGAATATACTAAAGTTGGCAGCTTATGTCAGTGATACCCAAAACCCAGACAGGGTACCATAGTGGGCATTTTCAACTAATCTAGATAAATTCAAATTAAAAATACGAAGATACAGAATTTCAGATAAAATTAAAGCACTAGATAAATGTGTACGTGTGAGAGAGAGACAAGAGAGTAGGAGATTTCTGTATCCTTTGCTTTAGTTAAAATAGATCTGCCGCACACAACTGAATATAAGAAAATACTATATCTTGAGGCTGGAGAGAGGACTTGGTGGTTAGGAGCACTTGTTGCTCTTGCAGACGACTGGAGTTCAGCTCTCAGTGTTCATGCAGTGTCTCTACCCCACCTGGAACTCCAGGTTAGGGGATGAAAATGCCCCACTTCTGACCCCAGCAGGCACTTACGCATACCTCTGGTACACATCCATACATGCAGGCAGAACACATATAATTTTCTCTTTTTAGAATTTTTTTTTTTTTAAAAAAAAAAGTCTCATATCGTAACATCAACACTATGAAAGCTAAAACCTATCTTCTATCTCTGACAAATTGTTTTAGGCCAGCAGGCTCTTGGTTTCTGGGAAGACCTGGGTCCTTTCTTCATCTCTGTTCTATTCTTGTCCCTTATGCTAACCAAGAATTGTATTTGAACAGTTTTGACAATGGGCTATTTTTAACGCTGCGGTTCCCCAATGGTCATTCATTTTAAACAAGCTTTTTCAATGTAATAGAGAAAATGCCTCGCTCTCTGTTAGTAGCAGGTAGATCTCTTCTCTAGAGTACTGGACGTTCGGTACGAGGTGCCAATCATTCAGACAGCACTAACTCCCTGCTTCTGCCTCAAACACCAGAGTTAAAACAAATTCGTTCTGGGTAAAGACTGCGAACTCCAAATGTCCTACCTCCGAAACAAACGGTTGGGCAATCTCTTCCTTGGAATTTCCTAACAAAGCGGCCGCCTTTCCTAAAGGCTGGCAATGCGAAAAACATAATCTACTCTGCTCAAAAATCAAAGCCTGCCTTTTATTTAGTCCTGCAGACACAAGCAGTCACAAACACCAAATACAGCTATCTGTGCTAGATGCCGGCACCTTCCTTTACACCCCGAAAAAGTGAGGCCCCCCTCCATCTAAGATTTCCTTTAAAATGCTTTGTATGTTCATTCAGACCTCTTATTAATTATGTAGCCTTAATATCTTTAGGTGTCTCCTCCTTCTGCTTTCCAAATGTCCCACTCCCTTCCTCCGCGCCATCCCTCCCCATGAAGCACTCTCCTACCCTGGGGACCACCGGACCTTTCCCGCCTGGAATGTGCGTTCGCCCGGGCCTGCTGCAGGTCCACGGGCAGTGCTGACAGTATTCCCAGCTTCTCCTTGGCCATGGTGACAACCAAGCCACCCTCCCAGCCCCCGCCACCCCGAGGCTCACTGCGCCCGGGGCAGAGCAGGAGGGATCCGCGCGGCAGCGGTGGAGGAAGCCTGGCCCGCCACGAGCTCTGGCGTCCCTTCCCAGTAGCCCAGACTCCCCGGTCCCTTGTCCCAAGCCTCGAGAGCCGGAGCAGACGAGCAGCAGAGGCCGGGGCCCAGGGCGTGGCAGCTCGCGGAGCTGCGCTCCCCGGAGGAGCCACTGGCGAGCGGCGCCTGGGGCCTGGGAACCCGGCCCTGCGTCCCGAGAAGGCTGCGCCCAGAGAGGGGCGGCTCGCCGCCGCCCAACCGTCTCCCCGCCCGCCTGGCCCGCACTCACCCCCGGCGCGCCAGCCACTGGCACCCGCTGCGGTGCGAACCCGGCTCGCTTCCTGCGCGCCACCACCGGCTCCCCGCAGCTGCACGCACTCCCGGCGCGCGCCTCGTCCACGCACGCGCGCGCGGGGACCCGGCTCCCGCAGCCAGCGCTGTCCTCGCCACGGCTCCGGGCCTCTGCTGCGGGCGCTGGCATCTCTGCCGCTCTGAAAGATGGGGTCTGCTTATGACACCTCCCCCCACCCCCAACACACACACACCCTGCTCTTAGCCACGAGCCATCTTTCCGCAAGCTGCCTAAATGCAGAGCCAACCGGCAGGATTTCCTCACCCGGCAGAGCAGGAAAGAAGGAAGCCTTTGGCAGGAATTCCTTGCACCCCCTGAAGGCGGATTCTCCTTCCTAGAGTGCGGGGAATGAAAGGTGAGGAACCGTCCAGGTTCCTTAGGTCTGTGTGGGCCCGAGGCTCAGACCTCATCCACAACCCCCCACCATCACCCCACCCCATCCCTGCGTGCCTCCAACTGCTTCTAGAAATAATCCATTGGCCTGTTGCTTTCTGAGTCGGCGCCACCCAAATGATGTCTCCCTGGGGGAGGAGAGGGGAGCGGCCTTTGGTCAAGAACGCTGGGTGTTGCTGTACTGGCCCTGCTTTTCCCGAACCTTTTACACAGCCGAATCAGCATTATCGCTTTTGAGAAACTAGAACTTTATATCAATATAATTCTAAAAGTCATAGTGGTTTTCCTAGAAAGATCATCTAACCAAGATCGGGTATTGCCTCTAGACGTAGCACAACCTGTTTTGTTTTCATAGCAGTACTTTTGGAAGTTGCTCAGTTGGGCTTGTCTGATGTTTTGCCCTCCCAGTGTGATTTAACTTATCTTTAGCTCTGGAATTTAAGTGGAAGGTTCTTGAACCAGAAGCTTGATATAATAATGGTACAACTCCTTCATACATTCTGTAGTGCTGTTTGTATTGTTTCCCACGGGGGAGAATATGAAATCTTAGACACCATCTCAGTTGTCCTAAAACTAATACCACTGAAGTAAGGAGAGATGGTCTCCAAATTTTTCCATTATAAACAAGGATGGAGAATATTTCTTCTTAGTGGTTAATAGGTAATAATGTCAAATGAAGATTTTGAAAATTCTTGAGAGCATGTTTAAATTCCTTGAAGAACAGAGAGTACTTAAGACTTATGTGTAGATAAGGCAGTAACACTCCCAATATTGTCACTGGAGCCAAGTCAGTGAACAAGAGAAACAAAGTCCTTTAAGACTCACACACAGGATAATTTCTGTTGATGAGACCTGCTGAGGAAGTGTCAGGATAGAGGGAGATTGTAGGAACACGCAGAACAGTGGGCCACCACGGAAAGCCGACTGACATTGGTGGCCAAACTAATTTTTGATCAGCTGTCCCTTTACTGTGTCCCCAGGTGCTGTGAGTTTTCAGTACAAGAAATTGTCACATCCGTCAGGAGACTTTGAAAACAAGCCTGTGTGCTTAGATACATACCATAATAAGCCTCTAGATTTTTCCGGCACCTATGACTTAAGATGGCCTAGCAGTAGATACAGCAGAATAGAGTAGCTTTACTCAAAAGGCTCCCAGAGCCCTGCGTTTTGTGCAGTTTGGGCCTCCTGAAGAGTTTCCATGGATACTTCTACCAGAAGCAATGGTACTCTGTGGGGCCTTGTGATATACATTTTCAGATTTGACAAAATCCAAGGGTTTCTCATGTTAACATAGGCATATATGGTCAAATATCCCTTAGCCGTTTCAATCATGGAGAGAAATCAAGACTATGTGTTGAGAGCAAGTGAAAGAAACTTATTCTAAGTTTCTCAGCACTACCATTTTGTTTTCAGACTAATTTCAAGGTCCCATGCCCTAGGGGTTACTGGCGACTTCCTAACAGCTGAACAGCTTCTGTTGTAAAGAAACAGTTGTCGGGAATAACTTGTAAGGAGAAGTTGTCTGAGTTTAGACATCTCAAGGACAACTTCTCCATCTTTCTGGCAGGGTCAGACTAAGTTCATGTCCCCAGGCCCAGAAACCTACTTCTGTCCTGATTGATGGAAACTACCTTGCTCAACCCATTATGTCAAAATATGATTGGACAATGCTACAGCCCACCCAGCTCCCCCTTGCTCTATGGTTTCATCCTTTAACCTGCTGTACAATGTTCCTTCAAGGTCACAGTTCAGCTCCCGAGTCTGTTCTTTGGCCTTGATCGATCAGTAACAGCTTGATTACAATAAATGTTTGTCATCTCCATTGACCTGGTGTTTGAGTTATGTTGGATTTAAGCACACCCCACAACATTATATAATCTTTTACTTCAATCTTCTGGTGGCTGACTTTTGTCAGAAATACTTATGGGTGTGCACACATCTGTTTAAAATCTCAAATCTGCTAGGCAAGAGCTCTGCCAAGTCTGTTAAATATAATAACAATGACCATCTCCATCCTGTAAGGGAACTCTCAAAAGACATCATCTATTCCACAGGCAAAGGTGACATTGGAAACCTTCCTTCCAAAGAAAAGTTCCAATTTTTTTAATGATCCTTGAATAACTAGTAAGTACATAAGATCACTTCCAGAACTCTCTAGAACACAGAGACTCATAAATTTCAGATCAAGGAAATTAAGTTCTCAAAATGAAAAATGTGAGATGACATTCAGAAGCTCTTAACATATAATCTCTCTCTCTTTCCTATAGTATCTTAAGGCTGGGAACTCAGCTATCTGTGCTGTAGAATAAGCTATCCCAAAGTTTCGCTGCCTATACAAATATTAATTGAATCTGATAATAGTTTTAGTGGTAGAGTATTTACCTGACATTGCTGTGTAAGTTTCCTTGGAAATTGAAACATTCCAACCTGTAAGAAGGAAAACAGCTTCAACATAGCTTCAGGCAGTACCTGAACCTGACTAGATTCACTAGATCCCTACCTGCCAGCGTCAGCAATGAAAGCTGAGAGTCCTTCTCAGAGGGAAGGAAACTGAGCTACAAAGACTCTCAGACAACCCCGGCAGCAAGGAGAACTCTGAGGCCAGCCCACATGCCTGGAACAAGCAGAAACCAGCTGAGCTGGTTTAGACCAGAGTCATTTGGAAGGACACCCTTCAAGCTGTTGAGCAGGCTCTGCAGTGTGCCCCACATGGACCTTGGTGATGTAGCTTTGAATCATTTCTGCTCCTGTAATTAACTCCAAAAAGACTCAGTGATTCATTCATCAGGTTGGATTCTGTTGGTATCTGTGCTTTGGTCTGTAGAAAAATCAATGTCTGGAGTGAGAAGCTGTATGCTGCTTATCCCCAGGAAAAGTGTCATCATACAACAGGCATGCATAAGTTCCCAGGTTCAGTCTTTAGGCCAAAAAACTCATCATCATCATCCTTTTCAGTTCTGAGAGTTGTTTGTGTGGTTTCTCTGGATTTGTCTGGGCTCATTCAACAAAATTACGCTCTACTTCAAGGGTTCAAGGGTTGAAAAAGTTTTCTCTAAAGGATTAGATAGTAAATAGTTTAGGCTTTGTTTCTGCTGTGGTTTAGATCTGCAGTGAGTGTTAAAGGCTTGGTACCCAGTATGTACCAATGACAAGTTTTTTTCCAAGTCATGATATGAGTGGCTTTTCTCTCCCACATTGCAATGATGTACTGCCTTGACACAGGCACCAAAACAATGGGACCAGTTGATCATACATGGAGAATCTGAAAACTGTGAGCCAATGAAAGCCTTTCCCTTTACACATTGACTCACCTCAGGATTGTCACGTAGTAGGAGGCAATTCCATGCACTGGAGAATCAGCTGAGCTGAAGGACACAGGTGGCCTCACGTAGCTATGAGCAGTGTGTAGCCTTTCACTCTCCAGTAGGTTAAGGTACCTGGCTTTTGGCCACATCCAGGAGAGTACAGGTAGAAGCAGGTGGACTTCTTAACCCATGTGGTCATGTGTTGCTGTTAATTTAATGGTAGTGGGCTGATAATGTTTATTATTTGCCCTTAGATTATTATAGTGGTTTTATCTAAACTGTTTTCACAATCAATAAAGACACAGACACCTGTTAGATTTGTCTTATTTCACCTAGAGCAGGGCAGGTATTAACCCTCTAAACTTTCTTTACCTCCAGCCCCATCCCAGGCTACCTCCCATCCATAGTTCCAAAAATACTTGCTTATTCTTCATCTGGGCCCCTTCTTTCATCCGTGGCCCCGCGATGTGCTTCTTTCCACACTCACCCATGGCTGCTCTCTGTTTCCTTCCTCCCCCTCTTCCATGATCCTCCCATGATCCTCTCCTGTCCCCAAAGCCCATGAACCTTAGCCAAGTTTACCCCATTTGCCCTGCCCAGATATGTCTGCTTTTTATTGGTCAAACAGGAATAAGTTTTCAGGCAGGGTTACAAACATCATTTTGAGGTACCTGAGTGTCTGCTTCTCTGGGCAGCAACCAGATCTTGGTGTGTGTGTGGGGGCAGGAGGGAGGTCAGTCACTAGCATCAGAATACATAGTACCAGACCAACCCCCAACGGTCATATATACATTTTATGTGTCGGAGCAACTTATAAGGTTGCTTATAAGCAACTTATAAGGTCTCTCTGCACTCCAGGGACAGACAAATCAATTCTGCCTCTCAATAGGGGGGAGTTACAATATCATGGGCACAGAACAACCCAAGGAGATTTCTACCATATGTTCAAACAAAGGACTCTTAAGAGGTGATAGTGACTTCAGGATCAGATTTGCCGGCTTTAAACAGCTTCAGACCGTGGCATAAATATCCACGTTTTAATTCTAATGCTAGCTGTTGCTCTTGGTCCCTTCCCCCATACAGCCCTGTCCTGCTATAATGCAGAGCGCTAACTCACTTTTCTGAGCACTTCCTTACAGATGTCTGTCTTGACATATGAGCTATCATAAGAAAGAGACCAGGGCCTCACCGCTCTGCCACAACTTGAAACATATTTCATAGGTATGTATGGATCTTACTGAGATTTAATGGGGCTTAAAGACAGGTTATTTGCTTGGTTCACAGAGGCAAATCAAATGAACAATCCACTGTTACCTACAGATTCCAGAAGAAAAACAGGCACCAAAAGGTCACATTTCATGCCCAAATATTGTATCAGCCCGATGGTTAAATGTACTAGCAGTTTTCACACACATGATCAAGAGTTTAGTGGCCATGTGCTTATTTGTAAGTTTAAGCTATCAAGTGCATTTATTAAAAATATTATAAATTTTAACCTTAGGTTTATCTGCACATGAAAATCGAAATGTAACAGAAACTTTGAGTCTGTGCAGTCCCTGTTCCACTCTAGGATGGGTTCCAGATAGGATTTGTAATCTACAGTGAAGGCTGCTAATTGCTCAGTTGAATTATTCAACATGTGTTTTTCCAAAATCTCACTGTAACCCTGTCTTGCTTCACTCGATGAGAAAGTTTGAAAATTTATTACTTTTAGAAGCAGCGGGGATG